CCAACTGCGCGTCCAGGAAGTCTCCATGGAAATCAGGGTCCTGAAGGACATTTTGCCTAGTCTCACGCATGCACTCCTCTCCTGGTTTGTAGGATCTCACGTATGCACTCCTCTCCTTCTCTCGCGCGCATATATGCTTGTAACCATGCACGCATTCAGTTTAACTCCCATTTCCCACAAACCCCCCGCCCCCTCGCTGCGCAGCCCAACCACTCCGCCCCCATCGAGCCCAGGGCGAGGAGCTTCCAGGAGCTAGCGTTTCCCATACCGATCGATGGCCGTCGCCGAAAATGTGCCGCCCTCGCCGCCGCCGCCGCCGCCGCCGCGGATCGTCGTCGCGGCGCTGGCGCTCACGCGCTCCGCCCTCGTGCCGATGCTGGCGGTCCGGCGCGCCCTCCGCGTCGCCGCCAGGGTCTTCCCCTACGTGGCATTCGCGCTCGCGTGGGCCATCTCCGCGGCCTCGGCTGCCAAGATCGTGGCGCGCCGCGCCTGGGGCGAGGGCTCCGCCCCCTTCCTCTTCCTCCGGGCGCTCACGTCCGCTGCCTGCAAGGTCTGCACCTACGGCTTCCTCGTCCTGCTCGTGCTCGCCGTCCTGCTGCTGTGCGGCCTGTGCGTGGCGTACGTGATCGCACTTCTATCCGGACGCGGTACAGAATTCAAGAAGGTATCTCATGCAAATCAACTCCTCCCCTATGACATTTATTCTGGCCGAATTACAGCAGTATATAGGCTAGTCGATGAGTTCATCACTTCATCTGCAATATATACTCATGCCCACCCATGTGTTTTTGTTGAAATCGTTGTGCTCCTCAGCGTGCCCTGGGAGCGATCACGTGGGACTCGGTTGCGAACTCGTTTAGGCTTCCCCGCATGGCGGTGCTCGGATTCATCACAGTCGTGCCCTTCTTCGTGCTAGTTGTCGCCGGCCTTCTGTTGGCGATGATGTCGCATGTGGAGGGATCGGTGTCTCGGGGAGAAATGGTCGGCTTTGTAATCGTGGATGTGGGGTTTTTTGGAATGCACGCGACGTCTTGCATTCTTATCATCCCAGCTCTAGCACTTGGCGCCTGGAGGTTCGACCAGGCTGACAGGAAAGCACAGTCGCAGTCTTGCTGAGGTACCTCTTCTTCCCATTTGCCTTGAAATATGCACGTCAGTTGGAAAGATCATTTGGCTGACAGATACATGGAGTCAATTTATCTTAGTTTACTGACTACTTGTGTTGATGTTTGTTAAGATGGAGTGTTGTTGTATGTAAAACCGATCGATGAGGATTTTGCTAGTCCTCGGTCGTTGCATATTAGCATTCATGATAAAATTTGGATTGTCATGGATCTTATATTTGTGAGAGTAGCCAGCTGATGTAGTTCTACCATATGGAGTAAATTGCACAAAACCACCACTTTGAAGGCTAGGTTTGCGAAAAACACTACAATACATTTTTTTGCAGAAAACATCACGTCTACGGTAATCTTTTTGCAAAAAACACCGATCGGCGGATTTGACTCAATTGAGCATGTTTATGACAGATTGGGCCCGCTAGTCAGGCTGACGTGGCACCGGCTAAGTAATTGCGACGTTGGCAAACGTTATCATCCCGTCTGACCCTGTGGGGTCCACCTGTCATCGAAAGAAAAAAAGCTGGTGGTCCGTGCTCTTCAACCTCCCGCCGCTGGATAGAGGAGCGTTGTGGCCGCCGGCGCTGGAGTCGACTGGGGCCCGAGGGAGCTCGCCGGTGACGGCTTTGGAACAGGCGCTCCGCGCCGCGTCCGGGGGGTGGCTGCGGGGTCGCATGGGACAGCCTGCAGCGTTGCCACCATGGGCCAAGCCGCGACGGCCGAAGAGCTGCGATGGCCGCGCCCACAGGGCTTCCCCGGAGGAACTCGGGGGCGGCAGCAGTTCGAGGGCATCCAGAGGAGTCGGTTACGCCAAAGGAAAGGGAGGGGAGGGCTGCTGGCAAGGAATTTGGCCAACGGGACGGGCGGCGGCACCTCGGCCATTGGAGGGGGGAGGAGCTCTGAGGCTTGGGGAAGGAGTTGAGGACTGCGAGGGGGCAACGGGATCCCTGCGTCCTCGCGAGCCACGCGAGGTCTGCGTCGAGGCAGAGCCTGCCATCGTCGTTGCCGCATCGAGGCAGATGCCGCCGTTCGTCTGCCCTCGGCCGAGGCAGAGGCCTCCCCGCCACCAGTGCTCCCCCACGGATTCCATCCTTGAGCACGGCCGCCGCATCCCGGCGCCACGGTCCTTGCCGTCCTTGACCTTCCTCGCCTGGCTGAGACTCGCGACGCCGGCCTTTGTTCGCCGGCGTGTGCACTGCACTCAAACTGTTCGATGGAATGCCAAAGAGAGGCTTGATAGGCTGACAAGCGGGCCCCACATTCAGCAAACGTTTTCATGTAACGGTGTGAGAAACTGGTGCCACGTCAGCCTGACTGGCGGGCCCTATTTGTCATACACTCAATTAACTGAGCCAGATCCGCCGATTAGTGTTTTTTGCAAAAAGATTACCGTAGACGTGGTGTTTTTTGTAAAAAAATGTATTGTAGTATTTTTCGCAAATCTAGCCTTCAAAGTGGTGGTTTTGTGCAATTTACTCTACCATATGCTTTTAATTTGTTACAAAGTAATGATAATATAAATGATCATTTCCATCTATTAGAAAAAAGTAATATTAATTTCTTACGCCCCATCGCCCCCTGTGATAGGTGTATCTTTGCAGCAAGTGAGATTATAGCAATGTTTGCATGCCTCCAAATTGTTGCGAACACCTTTCTTGAGAGCTCTCGTCATTGATAATTACTCCATTGAAACCGTAATGGAAAGACCCAATGTTTTCAAGTTTTGCCTATGGCATATGAGTATACTCTACTTGGCTTCTTTTGGCAATTGTGACTTTGTGCCATGTTCTGTGAGTCCGGTAAACATAAGTGTACTGTTTGATCATGTAAATAGATAACGTGACAGTAAAATGGCACACCTCTAGTCCTTTTAACGACTATCAACTTCCATTTGGCGCTATGCCCACTACATTTTGGTTCAAGTGCCAATATGTCTCTGTCCCCTGTTCTATGACTCAGTTTAATGTTTTTTTACAGTTTAGTAAAACGAAGTAAACTGTTTGATCGTGTAAATAAATAACATGACAGTAAATGGACACACATCTAGTACTTCAAGGTGGTGCCATGCCACTACATTTTGGTAGACGTTCCTTTGAGAACTAATTTCTGGCGTTGCAAGTTCGTGTCATCAGTTGTGTGTTTTTTAGCACTACCGACTGAAAGGACAAGAACAAATCAAATTCAATAACATTTCACAAGGTAGAAGTTACTTCATTGCTGGAAAATGAGTGGCATAACCTTAAGATTATAGTACTTGAAACTATACTATTGGATGCTTAATGTTGATATGTCAATGCTCTTTTATGTGGTATAATTTGATCAAATCTTTGGTTGGGTTATATATTGGCAGACGAAGCTAAGAAGAGAATATGCCCGGAGAATGTGCCAAGGAGCTACAGTGCCCATTCCGCTGATGGTTGTGAGTGGTCCCAACAGACACAAGTTTTGAAAGGAAAAAGAGTCTTTGCAAACCTACTTCTTTCTACTATTAGTAGATCCTAATCGTCATTAGCCATGAAACTTTTGTTGACTTGCTTATTTCTGCTATTACTACTCCCTCCGTTCCAAATTACTCGTCGTGGTTTTAGACGAGTAATTTGGAACGGAGGGAGTAGATCGTAACCGTCAATAGTCATGAAGTTTGTTGGGTCATTATGGGTCCGGTGATGATGGTTGATGCTACCCCGTGAAGTATTGGTGTAATGATTAGCTTTCAGTTTAAATAAAAAGAAAGAAGATATGATTAGCTTTTGTAATTGTATTTAATATTTAGTCCCTCTGGATGGGAATATATGTTTGGTCATTATGGGCACGGGAACTTAGGTGGTCAATTTAACAAGTGGAACATATACAATATGCCAAAAGAAGTATGTTTAGAAACTTCACTCAACGATGAATGTAAAACTGTTTTTATTTTTTTAATGACAAACCAATTTTTTGCTAATCGAACCAAAGACTTACACACTTGTGTCTAACTTGTTCACACCCGGAGGGAGTAAACAATTTGGCGTTGGATATACAAATGGGTATGCCACTTAGGTGAGTCGATGGAAACCAAAAACCTGAACCAGCGGTAAGCTCCGTCTAAGTCAAACCAAGCCACTTTCTTGAAGGACCCCGATCCAATTCCATCCGCTGTGCCTCCAAAACCCTAATCCAGAGGTAAGTAGTAGAATGAAGTACTGTTGACACGAGATAAGTAGTGGAATGAAATAGTGTTGATACGAGATGTGCTTTGGCCTTGATACGAGATGTGTTTTGGCGCGGGCTAAATCGGTTGGGCATGCACAATTAGATCTGTGGCGTTCCGTGTAACGTGACGCACCACCAATTATGTTCGCGAATAGGCAGGCTATTGGGCCCACACGTTTGTGGTGTAGTCTCCTGCTTGCACGCCACCAGTAATGAGATAGTGGTGGCGTACGAAATATACCCATGCCATCATCATTTCAAAAATAGCAATGTCGTGGATAAAAAATGGCGCGCCACCAATTATGATTGTGTGTAAGTATTTCTGCACTAGTGTCAAAATCAGGTACAATTGGCCTCCTCATGTACTCTACTGTAGGTTCCTATCATAGTCTTGCATCGCCGTGTTCGTCCAGGTCACTGTACTGTCCCACAAGTTCTCATCCAATGGTGTGGGAGGGATGCATCAGATGCTACTTGGGAAGATTTGGATTCGTTGAGCGAACAAATTTCTCGATCAGTGGCATGGGGTCAAACCGGTACTCAAGAAGAGGGGGTTGTCAACGGCGCCAACTCTAATTGAAATATTGGGCCGGCGGCCCAGCCCAGACGCAAAGCTAAACTACCAGCCCGGCTTGCAGGCTGAGAATGGGTCCATTAAAGCCCGTAAAAACTCATTTCCTTATATACTAGTCTAGTCGTAGGGATCAACTTGGCGAAGAAGGAATTGGCCTTTCGGCCGGCTTGTAATTCAGTACTATAACAAAAGGTGGGGGAGGTTGGGAGGAATTTATCTGATAATACAACTAGTTCGTCTACATAGCCATGGATTCGAGCTTCTAGCCTAGTTTGATCCTCTAGATCGTGAGTACCATCGACATGTAGACATATGTATGCAGACAATGAAGACCGAATCCAAACAGATCCACTGAAGACAAACACCGACAAATCTCTTGAGATCTGCTGGAGACACACCTCCACACGCCCTCCGATGATGCTAGGCGCACCACCGGGACGTAGCTAGTCAGGGAGAACCTCATTCCATCTCCAGGGAGCCATCGCCGCCTTGCCTTCCCGAGCAGGACACAAAGCCTAGACAAACAGAAAAAAACACCTAAAAGGAAGCAGGAGCCCTCCCCCGACGAGGATCGAGATCCACACGCTTCCATGGCCCTAAGGCCAAATAATACGAGGCAGATCAGCCGTTGTACCGGTAGGAGGCGGAAACCCTAATTGGAGCCGCACGTGGGAAAAAGGGTTGAGACAGTTGGCTGGGAAACCTGCTACTACTGTGACTACCTGCTATGTAACCGAGAAGCATGATGTTGTCGACAACAACGAGTGGGGGTGCTCTTGTTCTGGTTATTATTTTTGAATAAGAAGAAACATTATCCAAATCTAGATGTCAAGAAAAACAAATCCTACCATGTCCACATCTAAATAAAAAGCGTGGGAGAACACAAGCAGATTATACATTTGGCATTGCACTAATTGTGTTACTATAATCTTGCTTGTCTAAATACAAATTGTGTTATTTTGTTACCCAACTCTTCTATGCTTCATGCATATATATTTTCCATGATGGATTGTAAGCTCAATGCATCACTCGTCAACCACAACTATTCCTTTTTACATTCCGGTGGATAACAATAGAAGAAATCAGTGGAACATATTTCGGCTAGGACAAACTAGGCTGACACCTGCCTTCACTCCCCGTGGATGTGCCATTATTACTATGGCATAGACAAACATTACCAATTCACCATTAGGCATGTGTAATAGAATAATAATTAATTTATGTTTTAAGGC